CAGTATCGTATAATAATTAAGATAAAATGAATAAGATATTAAAAGAAAACATAAAAATGATTAAAATTTATAAAAAAAAAAACACCTCTTAGACAAGGTATATTTAAAGACATCAATCTGGCTCGTCCAGATAAAAACTTTGAGCCAACTCAACTCGTGGTTTAGTTGAACTATGCGTGAACCAACCTATGTAGCTCATTGAGCCACACGAGCCGAATTGCACGGCTACCCAAAATGGCTAGTGTCACAAGCTAATTACAAGCAGCTACTGTAAGCACCACGAAAATATTTAAAAAAAATAAAATTGGATCGGCTCAGGCCAAAAAAGCCTGAGTCGTTTTTTGCCCGGGCTACACCGTGCCATAAACTTAGGCTCGCAATCCAACTCAGCCCAACTCATTTACATCTCTAGGTATATTATGCTTTGGTATATTTATACTTTACCTACCATATCTTGAAAAATTACAGTTTACACACTATATTTTACTAACTGATAACGAAACACACCAGTTGCTAGATTTATAAATACGCCATCATAAATATCAAAATAAACTAAAATAACCTTAATCATAGATAAGAAATTACACCCTATACGGTACTTTATGTAACAATAACATCCTCTTTCTTTAATTATTTTATCATTCTTCAAAATTTATTTATTTGAAGCGTTGATCTTAAATGTTATTTTCTTACAAAATTTATTATATTTATTTTCAGTTAGTTCCAACTTAAGCCTTGTTTGTGCCCCATTTTAAAAAAAATGCATTTTTCTTTTTCTTATTTTCAACAACACATTTTTCAACAAAATTATACACGTAAATCGAAAATTTTTACTTATGCCCATGTTTGTCTATCATTAAATTAAGAAAATGAGTTTTAGATTAATAATTTTTTTGAAGAATATGTGATTAAAAAAAATGGGTTTACGTGCAAAAATTTTTATTGTAAAAATGTGAGGTTAAATATGAGTTCGAGAATAAAAGAGTTTTGACATAATAGTAGAGACACAATGGCTATTTTTTAACCATAATTTTTTTTTTCAAAAAAAAGAAAAAGGAAATCACTATTTCAAAATACATTTTTCCCCAAAAATATATTTTTAATGGAGTCCAAATAATGGCTAAATAAATTAAAGTTTAACACTAATAAGTTAATAACATATCAAAAAATATAAATATATTGGCATATTACTATCATTTTGTCCAAAAGCTATAGTTGATTGTACAAATATTATTGTTCATGTAAAATCGTAAGTTTAAGCTAACAATTAAAAAAATAGTAAAGTGAACATAAGGGGTCCAAATTATCATCTCAAGAAGATCGATTTAAATAAAATTACCCCTTGTTTGATGAACACAATACGTCAAGGTTAATATTAACTAAGAAAAGAAAAAACAATTAAACGAGCATGTTTTCTTTAGATTATGATTAATCTATTCAATATCATGGTTGAAGTTTAATGAGATTTCAATGTAGTTATTATCTTCGATCTCGCCTCTCAAGTTCTATTTCTAAAGTTGTACTTAATCTAATTCATTATTAATTAAACTCCCGTTTGGCCCTCATTTTTTTCAAATTTTAATATTTGAAATAATATTTTTTTGAAAAATGTGTGGTTAAAGAAAAATGAAAAGTTTCGATTTACGTATAATATTATTTTATAGAAAATTGTGTGGTTGAAAATAAGAGGAAAAAAATGAAAAAGAATGGGGGCCAAACGGGGGCTAAATCAATTTACCTTTTCTGAATTTAATTTAATTTTATCTAATTGAGTTAACTCACTATATCTCGATATGAATCTGAATAAGCATCAAATTAACACATTAAATCGCCTAAGAATCTAATAACAAGAGTCAACAATAATGAAAGTATGTCTCTACCTTTTACGATCAATTGTCGAATTTCTCAACATGTTCTAAATTTATACTGACCTTTAGGCTTGTTACAATTCTCAAAATCATGGTAGAGATCAAGTAATCCAAGCCTTGAGAACAAGCATAAAATCAACATATAAATTAATTAACTATGCAAAACTTGAGAATTTAACAGAATCAAATCTAGGTCACATAAATCATCCCAACTAATGATCCAGGGCAGAGCCGGTCCTGCTAGGAGGCATATGAGGCTTGTGCCTCAGGCCCAAAACTGTAGGAGCCTCATTTTTGGCCCAATATTTTTTTTAAGGCTCTATATATCAGATGAATTGAATCTTCCAATCGTTTTTCCCTAGCATCATTCGAAGTTCATTTCCTCTTCTCCAATCTCTACTCTCTTTGACAAATTACACAAGAACTCAACAAACCACAAAAAAATTCCAACCCTAACTCTCAACTCGCAGGCTGCATGTTCATACTTTTCATATCATATTTTTCATAATACTTTGATTCATATATATGGTTCTTGTAAGAAGGTTGTTTATGTGTACAAGGTGTTCTCTAAAATGTCATTTAGAACGGTTGTTTGTTGGAATTCGATTATTTCAACTTATGTAGAGAGCTCAAAGTTTTTCTATTCAGTTGAGATTTTTGTCAAGATGCTTGATAAAGGATAGTGATTTTGAGCCGGATGAAACAACGATGGTGATTGTACTTTCCGTTTGTGTAGAGCTTGGTAACTTGAGTCTGGGAAAATGGGTGGGTCCATTCTCATGTTACTAAGAAAGGTAGGGTTTTGAATTGTCAGTTGGGTACTGCCCTTGTTGACATGTATGGAAAGGTATGGTTTTGAATTGTCAATCACAATAAATTTGTTGATTAACAATGCTGTAAAATGAGACTTTGTTAATTGTTATTACCGAAATTCCAAGTTTCTAATTTACTACTAACTTTGAGTAATTGATTTATTATATCAAAGTCATGATAGTTATTTGGAAACATGGAGGAAAGAGGAAATAAAAACTAGTTAAATGAAAGAAAGATAAAAAGTATGTCTGGAAGCATATCTGATAGGTGGAATGGAGTAAAGTGATAGATGAACATTGAGTTAAATGTTTATGCAATAAAATTATATACTTGTAATTGCATTGGTGTTTGATCATAAATTTTTATTTCTGACTTGTGAGTTATGACAATGAAATTCTCAAGGGTGTGATTCCACAATTTTCTTCAAAATTTTACTTCCGAGTTAAGCAATGGCTTGCCCTAACATGTTATTGAATATTTTGAAATTGTTTGAAGCCTTGTCGGCTTATATAATTGTGGCCTAGTCGGCTTATATAATTGATTATTGTATTATCAATTGTACATGCGCATGTAGTAACTATATTAAAAACTCTAATTGTAGGATGATTGAGATATTTTGTAATTGTCTTTTAGATTAATCGTTGGACATTAGATATAGACTCATACATTATGCCCCATACATATGAATCTGGTGTTCAAAAGAGAAAAATGAAACGAAATAAATTGCATTAATTCAAAGTCAAAGCAACAATGCGATTGCGTTGTTTTAATGTTAAGTTTTAAGTTAGCACTAGGTTACATAACACACCGTTAAATTTTGCATTTATATTGATTTTGGATGCCTAATTTATGAGGTGTTTGGTTTGTTGCTTTAAGATGTTTTCAATTTTGCAAAACATTAAAAACTTATTTGATTTGATATTTTTGAAAACAATGTTAAACTTATAATATAAAATTCCAAACATGTTTTGTCATCTTGAATGTTTTAGTGAAAACACTCAAAATATGAGAAATAAACATTTGATTAATTTTGTTTAAATAAAATTATAAAAATATATATATATAAACACATAAAAAAAAAGAAAAATAAATTTTTGGAAAAAATTCTAAATCCTAGAAGATAAAAATTATGAAAAAAAAATCTAAAATACCAAAAAAAAAAAATCTAAAAAAAATCTAGAAAATCAAAATCTAAACAAACATAAAAAATAATTCAAACTCTTGTTGGTTGTTCAAATAAAAATTCTCAGTACACGTCATTAACTTTTATTTTTTATTACTAATATTTTACTAACTTAATTTATTTATTTTTTTTATTTGTAATAGAAAAAATATTGCAAAATCCACCAACTTCATAAAGGTTCATTTTTGAGTTTGGTTCCAATAATTATATGAACTCAAATGGTTTTATTTACGAAATTCTTGCAGTGTAATGGGTGGTTTCGAATGTTAAAGTACCCGAACAAACTCATTCGATGCCCAAGCCTAGAAAAATGGATGAAAATCATCAATTTAACCAATATTGGTATCGCACAAAATGTCCGCTTCTACCATGCATGATGAAGTCTGTCCATCTTTAAAAAAAAATGCGAGGCTTTGGCGTTTAAATCTTGGCTGCTTCTGAGGATGTTCATAGTCCGTATGTTTATTCTTGGGTCGTTTTGGTGCACATGATGTTTTGCCAGTTTCCAAAGAGGGATAGTTGACAGTTGACAGGTTATTTTAAGAAATTTTGTGCTCAAATTGCTCTTTGTTCTTGTTTGTAATAACTAGCTAGCTTTACTTCAATTAAAATAAAATAAAATTACTGTTTTGTAATTTACTATTACATAGCTACTGAAGAACCTATCTTCACGTTGATACTAAAAGGTTGCCCTCGTCTTCTGTGGCATGAACGACACATTGAAATAGACAAGAATGTCTATAACACTGTTTCATATCATGCGAGCGTCAAATCCTTGCAGGTTAGACACAAGTTAGAAGGAAAGGACTAATTTACTTGAGAAAATATTTGGGGAAAATTCTACTTGGATACGGGCTGTGACAGCGCCCCCTCCAATAGGGAGGCACCAAATTGGCACCTTGTCACAGGGGTTGTCACGGCCCCTATCCAAGTAGCAGCTCCCAATATTTGCTACATTAGAAAAGACACAACTACCCCAAGACTCAAAATGTTGAGTCATAGATTCCTTCGAAATTTATGGCCATATTTCGTTGTATGTTGTCCTCGTTCTTAGTAATGAGATCAGGTTGATCCAATATATTGTAACAAAATAAATAAATAATAAAAGAGGAAAAAAGAAAGTCATAAAGAATTCTATGGACATGTATCTTATCCCAGACTCAACATGATTAAGAAAGTATATGTAACAAATATCTCAATTGTCATGTTCAAATTTATCCAATCCAATGCGTCAACACACATACATTGCCATGTCAGCTACGTATAATCTTGAAGAGGCACGCTCCGTAATCCTACTCGAGTGTTGAGTAGAATTCTTGGTAATGCCATTTATGTACAGTACATATTGAATACAACTTGTTTGTAGAAAACACAATAAATATTCAAAATGATCTCTTTCAGAAAGATTAATGCCAAATACCTGCACATTCTTAGTCCGAAATAGCACCACTCTTCTGTATCAGATACCCTCTTGTTTTGTCATTTTTCAGCAAATGTTGAAACACGAGAAAGTTTTAAACTAGCAGTTGCCTGTAATTTGATTAAGAGGATCACAACAAGCATAAGATCAATCTTCCTTGTCAGTGGCTCGAAGTAACTCAATGGCTTCTTTCTGAGAGACAGAGCTCCCACCGTGATCAACCTGGTCTCTTCTGCCAACCCTTGGAGGTTCCTCCTTACCAATTGTGAGGATCAGTATCATGACAGCCACCACAAATATAATCATTAAAACTAATCTGATTCCCATCTGTGAGCCTATAAAATCAATGAAGGACAGACCAGTAATACGTTTTTGTATTACATTTCCTTCTCTGTAGTCTTCAAGAAAACGAGAGATTTGTGTACCAATATCAGTTTCTTCAATGCTTTCTGAGCCAATAATCTGTTGGTGACGAAAAGAGAAACAGAAAATTGTAACATCAGTATGCAAGTATACAAATATTTGGGCCAAATGACAAGTATAAGATGCAAATGTGTAAAAAGGAAACACGTCATCTTTCTCATTACAAATGCAACATCTGACATTGGTAAAAGGAACCGGTTTAAGTTTTCGTGAAGTCAAATTCTGAAAAAAAAAGGAAGCCTCACTTACCGAAAAATACTTCTCGTTTCCATCCCAAACAATCATTTTTGGCAGCTTCGTTTTCTTATCAACTTCAAATGATTCAGTAAAGTCTTCCCATTGCTTGACCCCAACATACCCAAATATTAAGTCGCGATTTGCAGATGCAGCAGCCTTCAAAATTCTTATTAATCCCAGCGATTTCTCATCTGCTTCATCCTGTACGATGGATAACACAATTTTCCTATCATCATCTTTCAGCAACTGCAGTGTATCTTCATTGATGGGCAATGCCAGAGGGAACAAATTCTGTTTTATACAATTTTCGAGAAATTGCTCTGTCATTTGATACAAGAAAGATGCATTTAATCATCAAATGTGTAGAATTAAACTCACTAAAATTGTAGCAATAACAAAAGTTGAGGTTCTGTTCGTATATTATTCCTTGAAGATCTGCTAAATGCCAACATGTACAGAAAATTTTGCAAGTCAAGATATAGCAAAGAAATCTCAAAGAAAAATCTGACTTAGATATATTAGGCTACGTGATCACCCAGTAGGACCATAAGGAAGTATGTGCATGCTAGAAGAAAGTAAAAACCAAATAATGTTTGACAAAAGTAAATGGAAAAAGGTACATCTTATTTAAATACAGAACTTTTACGGAACGTTTGAAAGCAATGCTGGACAATAGACAAGATTTTAACTTATTTTTTATCCTTAGGTACTTTATAATGTTGTCTAATCCATCATCTATGCAAAGTATAAAGCAACCGAATATATACAATTGCACTATTTCCAAATCCTAATTATGGGCTCAAAAGTAAAAGACATTAACCAACAAGAAGTTTACTTTCCAATTCCAATGACATGGAATGAATTTGATCCAATAGACATAAATCTCAACTAGGAAACTTTTAGCCACGAGAAAGTATGTTATACATCAGATACTTGTTCAAAATTTCAAAATGAGACATGCTTCATTATGATGAAAAGTTGGAACAACTAAATTTTAATATCACCTTCAAAAGGCCCAGAAAAGATGCTCTGTTCCTTCTGGGCTGTATGAATGGAAGCCAAAGCAGGCACCTTATCAAAATCATATTTGGTCATAATTGCATCCGAGAAATCTTTTGCAACTGAAAACCATGCTTTCTTCTTATACTTGACGGCCAAGTTTGATATCACGGACTCATTTAAGCCAAATCCTATGAATATAGGAAAATGAGTACCAGCTGCATCAACAAATTCACTAATAGCGGAGTCTGAATTGAGAATAGCAACATCAGGAGCAATGAATTTCTTCAGGAATTGAACAAGTAAATCTGCTTTTCGTGGTCCATAATAATCTGAAGGAACTCCATGGATAAACATCTTCAGAGTCGGATACCCACTGCATTTAAGAAAAAATCAAAATCTTTAGGATTTTACCCCATCTACTCATTGCTTTATTTAGTAAGCAGCTGTCTAATTTCTAGAATAGATTTACTAAAATCAAGAAAAAGAAAAGCGAAAAAAAAAATGGTTTCAATTAAGGTAATAGGAAATTTCGCTGTTCCCCAACTGTAATTGAATCAAAAGGTTGTGGCCGCATACTCAATTTCATGCTTGGAAGCTAGACGCTTGTATTTGTCAGCATCTATTTTTGCCACAATTATGGGCTGTTTCAATCCAGCTAGAACAGGGGCAGCTTTATCCAACTGCATGCAGCATTAAAATTTGTCAGCCTTCTTGTAAACATTGAATTCAAATTGTCAATCCCAAATGGACAATAAGCGTCCGTTGAATATATCTCCCAACAATGAAGGGATCAAAACAATATATGTAGGAACAACCGAACAAGGACCTCACAGAAGCCAAAGAGTAATAGTGATTTTCGGTGAGCCCAATAAGTATAGAGAGCATATGTAACAATAAAGCACGGATATCCTATTCTGTTATAACATTTTTTTCCCCTGTTGGTAACTGAAGCATTTTAACTCTGACTTTCTTTATAGCTGGTCGAAGCCTGGATAAAAGAGAGTTGTCCTAGATTTGACAGCTAGCGTAAAACTTTGTCAAATTTCCGACACAAACCATTATATGATTTTCTTTGACATGCCCTTCATCAGCGATGCATTGCATCAGCCTACTAATATTGTGAATAGTAAGCAATCGTTAGTATTTTGAGTGCATTTCATAAATGATCAGCCATATTGGTTTCTGGTTGTGTCCTGAAGTAAGCAAAGGTTCCCATGCTTTAATGGATAGGCATGGATTAAGAAGTTAATCAGGATAGCAGGATTAGAGTAGGAATATAGATAGGAACACTGACCGGAATATTGTTATAACGAGTACATGCAAAATGCATGGAAGGAAGTTCAGCATAACTTACATAGAATATGACAAAGCCAACAACTAGGAAGCACACATTACAAAATTTACATCAGGGAAATTATTTGTATCAGGGACTTGATTATACCATTTATATCAGTTAGACTTGTATTAGAAGAGAGGTCAGTTAGTGTTGTTAATTTGTCTATTATGTAAATAGGATTAGTTAAGGTAACAAAGCATATTCCGGAGTTCGCCATAACTTTCTGAATCAAGGTACAAAATCTGTTTCCTAGAATACAACAAGAAAAGTCTCAAGCTTTAAAGCATCAGTATTACCACTATATTAACTGCAGTGTTCATTATTCTCACAATTTGTAAATCAATTAAAAAAGATCAACAAGCCAGCAAGTTACATAATATCTAGGATGATGTACAACACGCTGAAGTTGCACTCTAGTGCAGCATTCATTTCACTTTTAAGATAATCATTACTCCCACTATTAAACATCCAATTCTAGGATAACAAAGGTTCACAGTGTGAAAATCAATTAAGAAGGATCAACAAGAAGCCAAGCAGATACAATATCTTTGCACGATGTACAACAAGCTGAAGTTGCACTCTTCTGCAGCATAGCATTCATTTCATTTATAAACAACCATTACTCCATCTATTAAACATTCACTTTTAAAAGGTTCACACTTTGAAAACCGATAAGAAACATGCCACAAGACACCAACAAGGTAAAACATCTGTAGCACTATGTACATCACGCTGAAGTTGCACTCTTCTCCGTACAACATGCTGAAATTGTACTCTTCCACAGCATTCATTTCAAATTTAAATAGTCACCCCTCCATTTATTAAACACTCGATTTCGAATAATTAAAGTTCAATTAAAAAGTATTAAACAAGAAGCCAATACGATACAACATCTCTAGCACGATGTACAACACGATGAAGTTGCTCTCTTCTGTAGCAATTATTTCATTTTTGTAATAATTATTACTCCATTGATCGAACATTCAATTTTGGAATAATAACCATAATAATAATAATCAAGAGGGAGCTATTTAAAAGAAAAAGAGACAAGTAATTGACCTCTGGAGCAAGGCGTTTGCAGTAGCCACACCAAGGGGCGTAGAAATTGACAAGAATATAATCGAAAGTTGATATAACAGAATCGAAATCGGATTCTTCCAGTTCCAATACCTTCGCATCCACCTTGAACTGATGTTCCTGCGATGCACTGATTGACGGGGAAAACGATAACAGCGAGGAAAATAGTAACAAAACGTGGATCAATGGAAGCATTTTGAGTTTATTACTGGCACGATTTGTTTGAATTTGATTAGCCGATAAAAGGCCCCGGGGGGGAGGGGGGTCGGAAGCTCGAGAACTGAAAGTTCGTCGGAGGAGGCAATGATAATGCAAAAGCAGATTTTCTTCGCGCAAACTATCTTTCGTCTTGTGTGCGCTTGAACGGTTAAGTAGTACTTAAAGTTTGACTTTTCCAAATGGAGGCAACCTAAAGGCTTATTTGGAAAAGTATGGCTTGACAAAACTCTCCTACCGAATCAAATTGAATGAAGAATTCTTCTTAAATTAAATATTCAAATGAGTATTTGAATCGAGAATTCATGGGTTTGGTTCGATTTTCAGTTTTAGATCAAGAATCGAAGAATCAAATAAAAATCGAAATTTCCTATTTTTTAATTAATTTATTCTAAATAAATCAAATTATTTTATTTTTTCTAAATAAATTTGCTAATTAGTTAATTTAGTTCAAACCCAAAAATATAATTTTCCTATTTCTAATTTTCAGTTTAAAGTCAACTTAATCAAATTGACTTAAGTTTTATCTAAATCTGTTACTCTACTGTGGTGTCGTTTCTATAACGGCAGACATGGCAACTAATTATAAAGATAATTTCACTTTAGATTGTTAGAAAAATAATTAGTTGCAGCAGTGATCAGAACAATATAATGCAGAAATATAAAACTTATCAATCGAGTCTCGTGACAGCACGATGTCCTAAAGTGAAATTGCCCGTCAATAATTGCTGTGACCTCCGTGGACAATCACTCCCAGGATACAACGATCGTAAACCACTTATGCAGCAATCACGAATGGTTTTTCTAGAACTCTCAATTGTACTCCAGAATAGGTATAAAAACCCGAATATAAGAAGTTCACAATATGAAAAGAGTGATTGATTCTATTTTCTTTTTGTGTGTCTTTTCCCAAAGCAAGATATGGGTTTATATAGGCAAGATGGTAGCAACAGTCTTCACCATGTTAATGCAGAATTTTAATGACTGAGTAGTGGGTGTTTTAATGGCAGTTAGTGGGTTGTTACAAAAACAAACAGTCATAAAATACTGGCTAGTCTTACCCATTAAATAATGAAGAAAAACAAATATATTTATTTTAGTCAAGGAAGCCCAAGGCCCCAAGGCCCAAATCAAGACATTTTAATATTTGCGTGGGGAGTGATTCGAACCCCTGACGTCCCACACAAATGTCACATTTCTCACCACTTTGGCACTTTATCTAATTTGATTATTTCTTTCACATTTTATATTTATACCATAAATATATAACAATAGCAAATAGAATGGAGGCTTTTTGGATTGATGTTAGGCCATGTTAAGGGTCGTCTAGATGAGGCCTAACTGTGGTGATGCACGACCATGGGTGTCGCCAGAAGTGGAGCTGCCGGCAAGAAAAATGTTCTCCAGTTCGCTGTGAAACTCCAGCCCTTCCCAATTCTGTGTCGCAAAGCCTATACTCACGCATTACCCAATTCGTCCTCTTTCCCTCAGGAGCTCGCCCACTATGGAAAAACAAGAGTTTTCTTCATTACATTAGTTTGGATTCTGTGAAGCACAAATCAATCCTTCTCGGTTGCTTTCCAATACTCTTTGCCAGTTGCACGATTTAGCCAAGACCCAATGCCATACTTAACGATCCGCAAGACTGAAAAGTACCATTATTGATCTCTTGTTTTTAGCCAAGAATCTATTGCAAGCAAAAAAGAAAAAAGAAAATTTTGAATGAAAATAGAACATACTACACCTACAAAAACTCCGCATTCCCAATTCACAAATCGGGGTAGCAGACACTTGAAATTAAATATTGGTTTTATACTCGTATGTCTATCCATTACATTCATTCATGCCATTTCCCATAACTACTCATCCATCTTGCAACCAGTTCAAATCCCATCCTAAGTGGTGTGAGGTGGGGGTGAAGAGTAAAATTTTAAAGATTTGAAATTTTAGTTGGTACATATAAAAAATTTGGATTTAATTTATAAAAAATAAAATATTCGAGTACTAAAATTACAATTATTCATTTTTAATTTTGACATTTTTTACTATTTTTAACGACAAATCCTACAGATCTTGAGGGCATGGGGTTTTTTCGCACAAAATGTTTCAAATTAGGGGTTCTCTGTGATTTCCAATAGATGAGGGATACATTGTAAATGAAAATGTTTCCAAGGTGATTTTCTGCTATTAATCCAAAGCATTTACATTTCTAAATTATAAACATTTTCTTATCAATTTATTTTTTATTCACATTTTATGTATTCATGAATACTGCTAATTCGCCATTTATTCTTATTTATTTATAATTTAAAATGATTTATAAATACCTCCCAAACATGCAATACTTAGAAGGTTCTCCTGAATAAGACATGTCGAAAAGTTTGGCAAATCATCAAATGGTATGCATCCAGTCGAATTTGTTGTGTGAGAGATTTTTTTAAGTGGAAAGTAATATATATATTCTTTTAATGTGTGGTTAAAAAATTATATAAGTCTCATAAAATGAATCGTCGTAAATGATTTTAGAAAAAAATAATTTTTAAGAAATCTCTCTCCCAAATAATTTCTAAATCATAATGCAAGATATCTTGATTGTCAAGTCCCCGAAATCTACTCCATATTTAGTCAGGTTTATAAGTAGTCAAAAGTATACATATTTCTTGGAATTTAGAAGCACTCTCACTTGTTGACCACTTATTTTTTTTTTTGTCTTTTCATAAACAAAAATATGCTAGTGTAGATATTGTAAACATCATCTTGTAACTATTAGCACGTTAAGGACGTCGGCAGTACTGCAGTAGATACTCTCTGCAAGTGTAATCTTATTTTGTTACCCAATATGCATAAATCTTTACAAGCATCAAGCTCTTGTATAATTGAATAAAACTTCATATTTTTAATATATTTTGATAAAAGATGATTAAATGTGTAAATAAAAATTGATAAAAAGTCGTGAATTTCATAAAATATGGGATTGAGAATGAATTCTTTTTTTTTTTTTTTTTTTTAAAGAAAGTGTTTGAGAATGAAGGCAAGAGGCTAAAATATTATATCACTAGTTATTCACCAATTAATTCTATTATATTGAAATCAAAACAAGCGCTAAATATTATTTAAAACACAAAACTTATATATGTTTTAGGGAAAATTGCAGTAGAAGCTCAAAACCTTTGAAACATTAACAGACTTTCCCCAAATCTTTGATTTGTTGCAATCGTCAACCCTAACATTTCCAAACATTGTAAGTGAAGCCCTTTTGGATGGTTTCCATCCATAACTCTGTTAGTTGATTAAAAATTTAACTTTTACCACATTTTTAATATTTTAAAAGAGGATAAAAGGGTAAATTTTCATTTATCATATTATATAGTAATTAAATTAGAAAATGAAAAATAAAAAAACACAGCCCGTCTTCTTCCTCTCACCCACCACCACGCCCACTCCTAACTCAAATCCAAACACCACACCACCACCACAACCACTCTCCGCCGCCGCCACCACCACCATTTCTACCACAACAACTCGATGTCGACCCCTCAGCAGCCACCTACATGTAGGTCCCATCGTATGAACCTTCCTCCAATTTCATGTAATCCCCAACCCAGAAATCCTTTTTCAGCAAGCCACCGAATCAAATTTCAGGTTTTCTAAGCCAAATCTAATTATTTTCACCAAAACGTGCAATTATTTCCCCAGAAAAATCAAATTGAAGAACATGAGTACAATTTTAACCCTTCTAATTGAGGGTTTTCAGGTTATCAAACTAACTGCATAAATTTAACCCTTAAATTCTTTATTTTCTTTTTACTTTAACGAATCCTTAAGGATTTCTGCAAGAAATGGCGTCATGGAGGAAGTAATGCGTAAATTGTATGTATATGGTGTGAAGAAGATTGAAGGCAATTCAAATAAAGAGAAATCTTGCACGAGTAATGTTAGCAATAGGGAGCGTGGAAATTGGAGGAATAAACTAGTATTCTTCGATGCGGGGGCTTATAGTTTCAATCTAGAGGATTTGTCGAGGACTTAAGCAGGAAAAGGAAGTGTTGGTACTAGTTATGAAGCTGCGTTAGAAGAAGACAGCATTGCTGTGGTGAAGAGGCTAAAAGATATGGTGGCTTCGAAGAGAGAATTTGAACAGCAAATGGAAGTTTTGGGGAAGATTAAACATGAAAATGTGTTGCCATTAAGATGTGGTGGCGGTGACGATGGTGGTGGTGAGGATTTTGGATATTTAATTACTATATGATGTGATAAATGAAATACTCCTTTACCCCCTTTTAAAATATTAAAAATGTTGTCAAAACTAAATTTTTGGTTAACTAACGGAATTGTGGATAGAAATCGTCCAAAATGGCTTTACCTGCAACGTTTGGAAATTTTATGGGTGACGGCTGTAATAAATCAAAGATTTGGAGAAAGTCTGCTAATGTTTCAAAAAATTTGGTTTTGAGTTTCTGCTGCAATTTTCCCTATATTTTATAAACAAAACTATGGCCCCATTTTGTATATATTAATGTAAAAATAATAATGAAAAATATAGTCGTTACGGACCCACACAAAAGATAAAAAATCAAATATTGTGATTTGATGTGATGAATAATAATCATATTTTTCATTTTAACGAGTTAATAATGAAAACGGGGGCTATATTTTAAACTTCACTTTCAATAATAGACCCAAAACTAATTCTTTCCAGAGGGTGGGTTAATGTTAGAAATCTATCAAGTTCAATCATTTTGACTCGAATCAGCTGCTTCTCTTTCCTTGGAAGCCTCGAGTCGAGATTTCACCAGAATTCGCAGTTGTGACTTTTTTACTCAGGTAACTGTCTTTGCCATTTTTCTTTTCCAGAACCCGAATTTCTCCCAATTAACGATAAAATAACTGCATTTTGCCATTGTTTCATTGCAATTTAATTTCATGATTTGCGGTTTTACATCTAGGAATATATGGATATTGAGGAAATCACGATTGCGCTCCAGGTGTTTGTGTTATTTTCTCTTAAAGACTCAAATGTGCTAACTTTTTTGGCTTTCTTTTCTTTTTCATTTTTCCCTTAATTATTCACATTGCTATATGAATCTTTTCTTATTCTGCTTCTTGTTGTTTGTTGGCTGTGTACCATGTACTGTTTTCTTTGAAGTTCTCAACTTTGGTAGATTATGTAGGTTAAGTAGTTATTATGCTTAGAGGATGTTAGACAACCTTCGAAGTTACTTTCTTAAAAAAAATTAAGGATAGGCACATCCTTATCAAAAGTTTCTTTTAATGAGTGCAAACATGAATCTTCCAAACGACCTGGTAGTTGAGATTTATGTGTGTTTTTTTCGATTTAATTCCATCTAACCTTGCTTCTTGGAGTGTGTTAGAAGCATGGGGAGAGGACTTTACTTGCTTTCTTAGTGTCACTTTGGTTTTGCCCTATCTTTCAAGCTCGTAAGCTACCACAATTAAAAATAAATAAATGAAGGAAGAAGTTATTAGCATTAGAAAGACGACAAAGGTATTCCAGACCCAAAATGAAAATGTTGTAAGAAAAGAAAATTAAGCTTTGAAATGTATAAATAGTGAAGTGGGTGCAATGTACTTACCAGAGAAAATATAGTACTAACCTTAGCATTTACTTTAATAACGAAGGGGCAAACTGAAGATTTACTTAGGTATAATGTAAATGAAAATCCTCTCACTTAAAACAAGCTAAACTACCTGCGAGAAAGCTTTATGCTTCAAACATGTCATTCTTTGAAAAGGTTCTTGAAGTTATATTTAATTTGAGATGAAAATATTATTTCATGTCCATGAGACTGATATAACTGGGTCGCTTGTTAAAACGATCATTAGTACGCAAATGTATCACATGTTTCATCATGACAGGAGTTTTTTCATTCAAATTCATTTGATCAATTGAATTGCTTGTGTCTCACTTCCCTTTTTTATGTGAGTTTCAGGAGCGTTTGATAATCCTTACCTAGTTTTTCTCAACTTCTGTATCTATTACCTTCGTTGTTGCTTAGTACATAGATGTACTCTCTCTTTTGATTTTCTTATTCTCATGTCCAGTAGAACTGGACACCCTTTTCTTCATAGATATTATGTCTATCTTTGTTATTTGATTGTCACAAGAAGAGGACAGCAAGCTGTTTGCTATGATTAAAGTTTACCCTTGAAGACGGTACTTATAATAATTGTTGAACCACGTCATCCAAAAAACTAAGCTATTAGAGATGGAACAAATTTATTTATTTATATTTTTTCTTCAACATGCTCACTCATGTGCAAACGGATTCATTAATTTTCATAAAAAACTTGACTTGGGTACAACTTTCATAAATGGGTGGTGGAGAGACTTGAATTCAGAACATTTGCTTTACCATGTTGAATCAACTCATCTACAAGCTTAAGTTATTGGAGACGGGACAAATTTGTTCGTTTGAGTGTCTGTCTTCAAGAATATTATATTATCCATCTTATGAGTTATTGCTGATTCTTAGAGGTTTCTTTCTCTCACCCAGTGTTTTTCAGTTCATTTTGTCTGTCTAAACCTTAACAAACATAACTGCATGTAATTTCAACTGTTGCAGGGTTGGAGGAAGTGGAACTATGGCAGGAGTTATACAGAAGTTCCTCATTGCGTCCATGTTTATGTGCACAGTTCCTATTGCAATTTTGTATGGGTTTAACCATAAATTGTTTCCTGGTAAGCTTTCTTTGACATCTCTAAATGTCATGGTAATAATTAACTTCCACATTTGAGAGAGAGGCATATTCTGTTTATAATGATCATTTTTGAACTTAACTTTTATTGATTGATTAAGCCCTTGTTTGAGCCCCATTCTTTCCTTAAGAATGCATTTTTAAATAGTATATTGATGGGAAATGTATGGCTAAAAAATAAGAAAATGTTTTGGATTTGTGTGTATTATTATTTTATTGAAAAATATGTGGTTGAAATGATGTCAAAACACCGTTTAAGAAACCCCCCCCCCCTCCCCCCCAAAAGAATGGGGCTCAAACAGGGGCTAAATTTTGTAGTTACAATCTTATCTCTCTCATTGATAAATTTAGAGTTTGCCAATTGCCATATATTTATGTTTTCTTTACTGCTAATATTCAGTCATAGATAAAGCTGCATATTTGGGGAGATGACTTTCCTTTACTTATTTTGCCATTCTAATAATACCTGGTTAATTGTACGAGCTATTTGCAAGTACGATTACTTTCAACGGCATTTATTGGTGTTAGACATTAAACTTTAATTGTAATTACTGGAGCGGTAATAAACAAAACGAGATTGGAAACACGGAAAGGGCATAAGGCCCCGTTTGTTTCCCATTTTTGAAAGAATGAGAATGAAAAATATAGCCGTTGCGGGCCTCACACAAGACATAAAAATTCAAATTTGATGGTTTGATGTGATGGATAACGGTCATATTTTTCATTTTAATGAGAAACAAATGGGGGGCTAAATAGATTTATAATGGTTCAATTTCGAGGTGAGTGCTACGTTCATAAGCAGGAGGTGTGCAAGGATATCTCGGTCTTATCGAAAAACAGCCTTCCCCTAAAATCCTTCACATCGAGTAGGAGTATTAGGGTGACATAACATTTAGGGACTACCTAAATATACGTCTCAGTAAAATATTTGTCTTTAGATTCCACACAGTCCAACAATTGGACAGAAGATTACTTCTGTTTGCTTATTGGAAGAAACTCAGAGCTATTTTAGTGGTTGCCATACTTCTACATTAAGAGGCAGCCTGAAGCTTCAATGAAATTGCATGATTTTTGCATCCATTACAGTTGAGGTAGGAGCTAGACATTTGATGCACTGTCGTACTATTGTTCCGTTGTTGGATAGCAAAATCAAGCTTAAAATTGTTGAGAAGAAGTGAGAAATGAGAAATCTTGGCATCTGACTCTTTGCAATATCCTCTCTTGTATACTTTAATTCCAAGCATTGGGATGACAATAAGATTATTGTGCCATCTCACAGTGCTTTATGCTATTTAAACTTTATACTGCTCGCTGTTAGATTGAATTGTGTTTGTATGATTATTACAGCGATAGGTCTTGAGCCAATTCAAGAACCGTTATTTTTTTAGCCAATTTAAGAACGTTATGTGCCCTGGCCCCTTGCCCCGTCTAAAATCACGCTCTTAAACAATCTTGCATTATCAAACTGTGCATTTTTTCACGTTCCTCCACAATGAAATTTGACCAGCATGAAAAGTATGATCGTGGAATCGAAGTAGATATTTCAAATGCCTGCATCCTGTAAACATGTTATAACATGGAGTACGTTTCTGAAGAGCGGGTCAAGATTTACCGTAGAATGTAAGTTTTCGATCTAAAAGTTCTCCTGAAAAGTTACTTCTGAGAAGTAAAAATTTTTTTTGCAAAAAATTTTACTTTTAAGTTTGGCCAAATATGCTCGTAAATCAATTCTGTGCACTACCACCCCCACTCCAACTCCCGACCTCATCTGAATGCAGGCACGTACAAACACAAAGACGCTAAGCTGTGCTGTGAAATGTTTTCAGTTGTCTGATTGAATAAGTTCATCATCTCCTTATCCTTCTCAATGTGAAATTATTTTATTTTATTTTATTTTATTATTATTATTTTTTTGCAATTGACTAATATGATCTTAAACAGGTACTGTTCAGTTGTCTCCCCATTCTGTGACATTGTTGAGTGGATTCCTTGCAGTCATTTCAGTCAATGTCGTCATAGCATTCTACATTTACATGGCAATGAAAGAGCCCTCGAGTAAACACGAGCGGGATCTTAAATTCGTTGCCGATGCCAAGGCTAGCATAAAGCACTCTGGACTGAATGAAGCCGACTCGCCATCCAACCGTGGGAAACAAGAATAGGTGATGTCAACTAAGACTAGAAAGTTGAAATTTTGTTGAGAAAATTGCCAATGAGGACCAAGCTGGAGAAAGAATTAAAAAAATCCTCTACTAGTGACCTTAGTATAAGAGAAACCAAAAGATGAGCTTTGAGATTATCCATATTGTGCTTCCTGACCTTGCCTTTCGTTCTTAAGTTGTTCTTGAATCGTGATTATGCCCTTGTTTGATACCCATTTTTCCCAAACTACATTTCTCTCTCTCTTCTATTCAATCATACATTCTTCAACAAAATAATATTATACGACAAAACTAAAACTTTTTCTTATTTCTTTACCACACATTCTTCATCAATCAACTATTTCAAAATACATTCTTACTATGAATATGGGAAACAAATAGGTCCTATCACTATTTTGAATACGAGTTGCTGATTTACGAACTCTTAACTTGTAAGTTTGCAATTCCCATTGGATCCTCAAGATTGAGTTTAGTGTTAGTATGACTGGTTGGGTTATAATGATTCATGGAAGAAATTAACAAATTTCCTCATGCAAAGTCTAGAAAGCTCCTTTTCATGAGTCTAATATGAGTGCTTGCAACTGTCCGATCTGTGAAATGAAGTATAAGTTTACGAGAACAACTTAGTAAAAAGGGTCGAAAAGGAAGAAGAGGGCTCAATGACGGGATTGAGCACTTCTTGTGGTGTAAGATCATGTTTGATTAGCATATGTTTGGTTAAGTTTTTTTTTTTTTTTTGGAGACTATAAGCTGGTCAGATATTATTATTATTATTATTATTATTATTATTATTATTATTATTATTATTATTATTATTATTATTATTATTATTATTATTATTATTTTGTTTAAGAGTTTATAGCTTTTATTTAATTATTAACACCTTTTATAAGATCCCAACTTATAATCTACAAATAAGATTAACCTGCATGATAATGTTTTTATAAATCTTTCTTACCCAAAAAATAAATTGGTTTCAAGATTATTAACAAACGCGAGGCATTAAAGACAATTTTTTTTTTCTAAAATAATAAAATGCAAAGAATTTTCTTTTTGCACGCAAAAATGTCTTTGATGAAAGGAAAATAGAAGTTACTATCTTACATAAGCAAATTACTTATTTTTAGTTTGAATATTAAAATTTTTTAGTTTAAAATGAACTCATTTACATATAAATAACTTTTTTTAAGCTTAGTCAAACATGAACCATCAGACTTATAAGAGCAATGTCAATATATTCTATGAATTGTCATTTTTATGAGAGAAAGATATGAAGACTATAGGGTTGTACGTGAGATTGATGTATGATGAATAGACGATTGAATTCTTTTTTTTTTTTTTTCATCGCCAATGTTTTCGATTTATAATTCAAATTTAATCTCTAATGTATCATTAATAGGAGAAAGAAAAAGTAATAAACAATATAGAGAAACTAAGAAACATGAGCGAAAAAAGAAGGGAAGTTTAATTTTTGCCACATCACTCCTCGAATAGAACGTCCATATTGAGACGGACTCTTAACAATATATAACTCTTTTTTATTATACGTCAGCTACACAATCCTATAACTTTTATGGACATTATTTATTTTAGCTTATGCGGCAACTTTTTTAATACAATCCATTGTAACGAAGATATTCTACCATGATTTTTTATTATCTAAAATGAGGTTAATTGTTTAAAATATAACTGAACTTTGTGTTGCATCGTGGGAATCTCCTGGAACTTTAAAATATTTTTGAAATACTTGGTCAAAACAATAAAGCTCAATGTACAAACAGCACCCCACCTATAGGGGGCGCCACTTAATTAAAGGGCCCATGTGGGCTTGTACACCAAATGCCCTCCTTCTCAAAATGCTCTCCTCAATTGCTCTTTAAGATTTCATTAGTTAGCTTTGGTGGAACAGTCTATATCGTCGACAAAATTTACGCATGGCACAAGTTGTCGTCCAATTCTCCCAACTAGTAATGAAATGAGAGCATTTTGATAAAAGTAAGTGACATTTCAGCAACACTTTAAAGTTTAGCGAGGTTTATATCACTCGACCTAAAGTTTAATTATTTTGAAATAATGAATTCATTTTCGCGATAGGTTTTCCAAAAGTAATTTAAGTTTTAAATTTTTTATTCGGGAGAATGTAAAACAAAAATCTTAACGATTGATCTTTTAATTTTTAAATTAGTTAAATGTATTGAGGGAGGTATAAAGTTGAGATTATGTTAAGATTGACAGTTGTACACAAAATTGAGTTAGAAAGTGCATTTTTTTTTTTTAGTGTTATCGTTATTTTATTCTTCATTATAATGAAATTTTGTAAAAATAAATAGTTATGACTATCACATTTAGAAAGTGACTCAAACAAGTTAGAGCCTTAAGAAAAATCTTTGAGTGGTCTTTTAAAAAAAATCATAAAAATATGTAATAGAAAAAATAATTACAACATAATCTTCGAGAATACCTAACGGAAATCAATAGTTGTCGTTGATTGGTAGCAACAATGTTGTACTATGATATTGAGGGCCATCGTGAACATTTCTTTGGTTACTTGTGATGATGAAGAAGCATTCAATTTAGTTTGATTTTTCTAATTGAGGTAATTGGTACAAAACGTACTTACCTTTCAAGATTTTTGTGGAAAAGTTTCATACCTTTCATTTTTTGGCATTTTCACTCCTACTTTCACCTTTCATTGCACAAATGGTTATTTTCATCAAATTTGACGATTTTACCCTCTAATTCAAATAAAAAATAAATAACTAATTTCAACCATAGTCTCAAACTTTCAAAAAAAATATAAATCAGTCAAAAATCGGTTGCATCCTTTCAGATGGAATATATATAGGAATTTTCTAACCATAATCTATTTTAAATAATCAATAAAATACATTTGCTCAAATCCATTAAAAGCGCAACATTACCTATCTCACTTTCCCAATCATAAAACATTAAAATTTTCCTGCAAACCTCGAGAATTGTATTCATTGAACAGTCCATACATCTCACTCTATGAAACTTGAGAAAAAGGTAGTTACTTAGCGCAAGTGAACGACACGAAGCGAGAGCTGTGAAAATAGTTTGTGAGGGTCTTCTGGAGTTTTTTGATGGCTTGGAGGCTTTGCCTCCCAAATATTAAGAAGAAGGGTTTATGGATTCTGAAGTGGTTGAGAAAATGGCGCGTAAGGGCGGTAAATGAAAATATGAGGGTGGATGGATTTTGCTCCAATCGCGAGAGGGGCTAAATTCAAGAGAAGGCATATTTTGACCCCAATTTATCTTAGAACAACCATAATGTCCTTGAATCCTTTAGAAGATAATTTTTGAGTTGTTAAGAAAAATGAGGATTTTTATTAGCAATGCCAATGGCTTGTAAGCGAAAATAATTTTTTTGCTCTCAGCGTGATTATAAATTGTTTTTGGAGCCACATATTTCTTAATTGGAGTAAATCTTATGATTGAAAATTAGTCAATTTTTCTTATTATCTTTTGCTTCATTTATCATCAGGAAAATGCATGAGTTTATCATGTTATCTAATTAATTTTATAGCGAAGGGCAGGTGGTGCCTGTCGTACATAGCTTCCTTCATCAGGGAGAGCAATTAGTAATTTATGGTTGATTTGTAATTTTTTGAAATTTTGGGAATATGGTTGCAATTAATTATTTTTTCTTTTCTTTTTGTTTTATTTGAATAGGAGGGTAAAATTGTCAAAACGGAAGAAAGTGACCTTTTGCGCAATGAAAAGTGGAAGGTAGGGGTGAAAATGTCAAAAAATGAAAGATAGAGATGTTTTCCACAAAAAAATTTAAAGGTAGGGATGTTTCGTGTCAATTACCATTTCTAATTTTTCTCATGTTGTTAATTTTTTCAAAAAAATAATTAAATTTTAGGTCGCATCGCTTGGACCTTACAGAACATTAAAAGTGCGTTGAAATGTCATTAAACTTTGTCAAGAATCAAAATACTCTCAATCCATCAATGTTTAGGAGATTATATCTTATTTGTGCCACCTGTAAATTCTGCTGCCATGTAAGCACTTTCGTCGAAGTCAAGTAACGAAATATTATTTAATGATGGATGGAAAATATTTTAATTTAATTAGATTTTGCATCCAAAGTTCAATTATTTTTTAGACAAATAACCTCTAAAGAATACATTTTGAAATTGATTATGCTTTTTTGAATGGTCCTTAGAAATTTCTCAAAACTAGCAGAAACAGAATGAAACTGTCCATAGTAACGCATCGCATTTGCCCTTTCCCAAACCCTCAATCCTTTTTCTTAAAACCTTCCAAATTTCCATTCCAAACCCCAAAATTCCCTTCTTCTCCTCCCACCATCAATGTTCATCAAATTTCAAAACGCCGTTTGAATTTTTACTATTATTATAATTGTAATTACAGTTTCGCAAGAAGTTCTTCAGTAACAGCAACAATGTGTACATCTCCAGTGTGTATTACTGTGAAGGACCAAATCGATCTGACTGCCAAGGAGAAGCAAATTTTCGATCGCCTTCTTGCAGTTCTACGCCACTTCAATCTCCAAACCCAGCTTCGTGTCGCCGGGGGCTGGGTTCGCGATAAGGTCAGTACAGTTGATCTTTTTTTTTGGTAAAAATGAATTGAAGTATGATTATGGTGGGAGAGGGTATAATCGTATGCCTATATTGCTTGTGCTTGTTTTTGGTTCTTAAGATGCCAGAACAGTTCTCATACTGCTGCGGCAAGGTACAAATGCTGATGTCTTTGATGCGATAATGTACCTTTGTTTGAAAATTTGCACCTTTTTTTCTGTTTCTAAACTATTGCGGTGGAGCAAACATAATTTATTACTAGTACGCTGTTCCTTGACAAGAATACGACTTTTAATACGTGTTTCTGAGAGTTTCAGAGCTCAGCCTCTGTTTGTGGAGCTTATATTGGCTTGTAGGAGTACATGCAGTGTTGTGTTTTATTTTCCTTTAAGAAGTACACGCAGTGTTATGTTTTACCCCTTTTTTTTTCTAAAATGAAAATAAGTTTCAGAACTAGTTTTACTTTTATCTGCAACTTTCTTTGTAATTTATTTTTTGTTCTTGTATGCTACTCAATGTTCATCATTATTATTGCAGCTTTTGGGCAGAGAATGTTATGATATTGACATTGCACTGGACAACATGTTAGGAAAGGAGTTCTGCGAAAAAGTAAACGAGTACTCGTTATCAGCAGGGGAAGAGACACATGGCATTGGTGTGATTCAGTGGTATTTTCACTTTTCTCCATCTTTGCTGATTGTGCAGTTTAGAAGATATGTTTTTGTCCCTGTGTATTATGATCTGTACGAATACCAGTTCTATAAGTGCAGTTGAAGATTCTGTTTCCAGATAAGTTGTAAGATCAATTTTTTTTTTATCGTAGTTATGGGTGCATTAGCCAATCTTTGCACTGAAGTGAATAAACACCATTTCTTTTGGTCAGAAAGTGTATATGGTAAGCAGTGTTGTTAAAACCAGACCAAAGAGGTCAGCTCAGCGGCAAAACCAGGAACCAGACTGTAAACTGGTTCAGTTTGAAGAAAACATTGTATAAGGAAAAACCGGTGAACCGGCCATGGTTTTCTATAACAAAGAAAAAGAAAATAAAAGTTCTGCACCATTATTTTCCATCTTGGTAGTTGGTACCATGTTTTCTCCTCTTCCACCACCTTCATTAGAGTAATTTGATAGGGGCTTTGGATTTTTGAGTCCAGTGATATTTCTTGAATTTTTGGGATGTATATAAGTTGGATCATGTTGTTTTGGAGGGTTGCTGCATATATTGAAACAGAGTGAAAAGTAAAACTGTGCAAGATGAAAAAAGTGAATACAATGGAGTGCTTGTTGCCGCTCATAGTAAAGACATAAAGTATTGTGGGTGGTTGTCTTTTCTTTGGGGAGGGAGGGAGAGAGAGAGAGAGAGCAATGGGTGGGTGTTTATTTTATTGAGGAGACTAAAATCTAATTGTATTAAAGATGATAATAATGGTGGCTTAAGAATGGATAATTTTTAATTACTTTGTAATTTAAAATGTGAAAATTTTGCTATATTGTTGTTAGGAATATAATTCTCATTAAATATTTTTGTTTGGAATAAACACTTTTATTTTTATAATTATAATTTTTCATTTTTTTACTACTGGTTTGACCTTTTGACCATTGACACTCTGCCTTTTTCTGTTTCGGTATCCGTGCTGGGTTTAGAAAATTGGTTGTAAGTTTTAAATGTGACAGATTATGGTACGTTTCTTTTGTTTATGTTTTTTTTAACTGTGAAAGTCTACTTTGTGGTTTTGTTGCAAATTTTATTGACATATATTTAGTTAAAAAATAAGGAAATACTTCTGATCCGCAGCCATTAGGGATTGATGCAATTTCCTACAAAATTCTACTGCTGGCTGAAATGCTTCCTTTTTTACTCCAAATACCCTTTTATCATTATTTTTTTCTTTTACAGTTTTACCCTTACCTGTTGAAAAACATTTGTCATACACTATCCTACTACTTTTACGTGGACTATTTATCATTTGTCTCCACAGGAAAGCCATTTCTGTATATATAATGTTGGTTCAAGGTGTAAAGTGTTCATTAATAGCGTTGTTTTCGTTTGGCAGCAATCCTGATCAATCAAAACATTTGGAAACAGCAAGGATGCGCCTTTTTGATGTATGGATTGATTTTGTCAACTTAAGATCTGAAGACTACAGTGAGAATAGCCGCATTCCAACTATGGTAAATGTTTTGAAGTTTGTTACATGATTTTTTTAGGAAAAAGTAAAATATCTTGACCTATATGCTGAATATTGCATATTTTACATTAAACCAAAAATAGTAGATACTTATATGTAATGTAATGATCCAAATTTTAGTATTTCATCATCTCCTTTGCCACCACTTTCTAAGGCATATGCTTCCTTGATGACATTTTCTAGCATGTCAGTTTCTGTTTCTCAAAATATTAACACATTACAATCTCCTTAAGAGGTTAAAATCTTTTGTTTCAAATTTCTTTTGCAGAAATTTGGCACTGCAGAAGAGGATGCGTATCGAAGGGATTTAACCATCAATAGGTATTTTTCTCTAGTGTTTGTAGTTTGCTGATAATGCTACAGAGCAAGCTCTATAATGGCGCAAAAATTATCTTAGCTTCCTAAGTGTTATATGGTCTTCTAAATGTTTCTTCTCCTCCTTTCTCTCTCTCTGATTCTTGGAATGGAAATAGATGTTGATTTTTGTGCACATAATTAAAACATGTATTTTTCAAGTATGTCTGAGGATATACGTCATTCGCTTCCTTTTGATATCATTAAAATGTGTAGAATTAGTGACGTAGAATACAATAGGAGAAGGGGAAAGGGGAGAAAGAAGAGAAAGGAGGGAGAAATAGAAGAGGAGGGGAAATATCAATTTTTATTTCATTCAATAATGTTTGAATTACATTGCATAAGCCCTTAAGTAAGGAAATACTAAAAATCAAATCATAATTGTGTTTCCTAAAGTAAGATTCGAAATTGGAAACTAAATAATATAATCTCTTATAATATTGCATCAATTAGCTTATTCTTTTGCCTCCTGAAACTGCTATTCTTCAGCTTGTTCTACAATATCAACACAAGTTCTGTTGAAGATTTTACTGGAAGAGGTAATTATATTTTTTTCTTAAGCTAATTCAATTAGTCGAATTGAGCCACAATGCTTTTTATTATTATTTATTTATTTTGTGCACCCTCTTTAATGTGATGGATCTCTTTTTGATGAATACAGGCATTATGGACTTGAAGTCAGGAAAAATTGTGACCCCGCTGCCTCCAAAGCAGACATTTTTGGATGATCCCCTACGAGTTCTTCGAGCTATCCGATTTGGTAGTTCACAAGCGACTTCTCTTTTCCATGTTCTGGTCTTTATAAATTCGATTTAATTATGCCTTAGCAAGGAGAAATGACGAATTATATTTAGCTTAGCTAATGCTATGGTGTGAAGATATGATTCTGCAGAAAATATGTTATATTTATAACATAAGATTACATTAAATCCTCCTACGTCAGAAACAAGCCTGATCATGGTTCTTTAGGTGCAAGGTTTGGATTTATGCTAGATGAAGAGCTGAAGATAGCTGCTGCAGATGATGACGTCAAAGCTGCAATTGCTGATAAAATTAGTAGAGAACGTATTGGTCATGAAGTATGCTTGTATAATTTGTTTTTTGGATCATTATGTTCTCAATTTGACCAGTGATAATTTTTTTATTTTTCTCTCCTTATTGAACAGATTGATCTCATGATATCTGGCAATCATCCTGTGAAAGCAATGACATACATTTCTGATCTGCAATTGTTCTGGGCTGTGTTTAGTCTTCCTTCTGGGCCAGAGCCTTCAACTTCAGAAGGATGTGAAAGGTTTCTTCCTGGTTCATGTTTAAAGTTCATTTTGAATTTATCTCTTAAATAAAAGAAAGGTAATAATGGTGGTTTATAATTTTAGGGAAATTGCATTTTGGAAGTTCAATCTGGTTATATCCACAAAACACATTTACACTTCGCTTAACCTCCAAACCTTGATGACTGTGTCTTTGGAATTCTGCCAAGTTGAAGTTCTATTTCTCTTAGATGACAATTTCATTATTTTTTAAAATCTAAATGTGGATTATTAAGGTATAAATGCTGTGCAATCTTTTACTTGTTTTACTAGCCTTTATACAAGCATTTAAGTGTACTTCCAGCTTGAATTCTCAAGCCCTCGTACTAGCTTTGCCAACTAAATCTTTGATTTGTTGGCCAATTAAAGTTTCACTGGCTCACTCTGTATTGTCATAATTGGAGGAGAAGTGTCAGTACAGTTGCCCTGGATCATAATGCTCTCGTATACAACTAAAATAGATGGATGGCAGATTAAAAAAAATCAGAAAAGAAACAAACTAGATAGTGAAATATCTCACAAAGGTTCATTAATTATGTGAATGCTTGTGGGTCTCTTTGGATTTGGTATCTCGAGAGGACTAAGGATTATTCAATCACTTTAATATAGTCTGCTTCCAGCATTTTCCGTTTCGAATATCAACATTTCCTTTCTTTCTTGGTATGTATCTTTGTGATTCTTCTCGTGGCCATGTGTGTCAAGATCTTACTTTCCTTTTTATTAAATTTTATGACTAGGCTTTGTGTTGCTTGCATGGATTCAACGTCAAGACTTTTGCAGTTAATTGAACTCTCCTCATTAACTGTGAGTAGTGGAGGGTGTATGTAAGTTTAATGTTAAGCTATATAATTATTTCCCTTGCATTCTTTATATTGAAAGAGATATAGCAGTGCCCTTATATAGGAAGAAAATTCAGTTGGCATTGTCAAGTCCTGTAGCAAGATTTTGGTCGTCATTAAAGTGGAGTAGACTTTGTAAATTTACAACCTACTGGAAACTTTTTAGTGTTGTTTTGCTGAACAGATGTAAAATTTTATAATATTGCTTTTGTCTTTCATTTTATAATCACAATGCATGTCTAAGCCAATTAAACTGGTGGCTAGCTAGAGATATATCCTTCCCAATAAACAGAGGATACTTAATTGAAGAATGTGCGAGTAATTTTTCACTAGCACTTAATGTCCTCAATAGAAGGTTTATTTGTAAGGTTTCTACTTTTCACATTCCTTCGTCGTGATTTTTAGGATGATCATAGAAGGCTCTGCATGTATGCTGCTTTATTTCTTCCATTTAGGAAGACTATTTACAGAGACAACAAAGGGAAAAAGGTAAATTATGATCTTTGTAGTTATGAACTGTAATTTCCTATCTTTATCTTGAATGTTTCTTGTCATTTATTCTTGTGCATGACATGTCAGAAAGTTGAGTTCAGAATTGTTTTTCGCCCCATTATTCTCGTATCTATTCATACCAATTCTTTATTTTTGAACAGATCCCAGTTGTGAGTTACATCTTTCGCAATTCTCTCAAGCTGAAGGCTAGTGATGCTGAAACTGTATGTGCTTGGTCACTCTTCTTTTTCGGTTTTTTTTTTTTAAATTTTTTTTTTTTAATGTTTTGCATGTTGCTTACATTTTAGAATCAAGTCTGTTTCTCTTTGCAAATGGAGAAGTTTCTTACTATCAATAGAATTGTCATTGGCGGACAGGTTCTGAGTTTGCATCTTGCAGCGGAAAAATTCGTATCTTTGATTCCTTTGATTCTGTCTAATGAGGATATACAAATTCTTGAAGTTGAGTGGAAAAGAGAAATTATTGCTGTTTCCGTTGCCTCAAAACTCAGAATATTGGCTGGTAAATGATTTTCTCCCCCTAGATATTACATTTGACATTTTCTATGCACCAATTGCTATTCCTTCAATAAGCTGCCATTCACCTGCAGTAAATCACACTTGAATCTTGAGTATATCTGTAGTGGTTGTCTGTAGAGATCTACTTGTCCTGTCTCTCTGATTGAAGTTTGAAAGCACAATTTCCATCTCTCTTATTGAGTGAAATATGTGCAACGGGATCAGAAAGGTTTTCTGTTGAGACAGTATTGACAAAGTTTATTCTTCAGAAATTTTGGATAGTCATAACACTGAAACAAAAGCTGAAACTGTATTTGGGGCTTTGAAACTATCCATAATCTTCTAAAAGTGGCTTTAGTTGATCTCACGGGGGGTCAAGTAGAATGTATTACTGGCAAAAGAAACTTTATAACATCAGGTTCTCTGTAAAATTGAGTTAAATCTTCAAAGTAGTTAGAAGCACGAAGATGTGTCTTCACTGTAACGGAAAACTTTGATTGGTTTACTTGCCTGAGACTTTCATAGTTTTTACCTCTGTATCCAAAGAATCCCATTAATTACCATATATGGAACCTTGAGGGGAATATACTTGATTCTTATTTGAAGGGTTTATCATAATATTTTTATTATACCTGGCGGTCCTAATTAGCCTTGCTGTTCATAAATGGTGATGTCAAATGTTTGTAATCATGGAATATGGGATTGTATAGGGACTTGAGAAATCTCGAAGCTGCTTGAACCCCATTTTGTGAAATGCAGAAAGCAAGATACATGACATTTAATTCACTTCCATTTTTTATGAATAAATTTTTTACCAATATCAATTTCCCATCTGCGAAATACTTAATAGTTGCTAACTCTGTTCAAACCCATAGGATTGCTGCTGCGAGAAATTAAAGAGTTTTGGCGTGCTGCCCTCGTGCTTTCCATGCTGTTGCGCGCTGCCATTATTGTTTGCTCTACAAATTCATCAAACAACGAATATGAATTGGACAAAAAAGTAGAATTATTTAACAGGATTGAGAAAGCAATTCTGGAACTAGGTATTGCCCGATCCTTACACTCTACTTATATTCATAAATTAACTTATCTGTCAGTTTTTAAATAAATCTCTAGCTTCACGAGTTAACTAACTAATTTTTAGCATTTGCTGTACAATATTGGTATTTGTTTGTTGAAATTCTCCGGTTGAAGAATCCTATCCTAAATAAGCTAAATATGTTTATAGGTTTACAAGGAAGGATAGATATTTTTTTTTTTTTTTCTAAATTTTTTGTATTTTTATGATGAAAGTGGGTTTTTCATTTTATTATTGCATTTTGCTCCTATGGATCTGTGGGTAACATGGTTTCATCCATCCGTTCATAAAATGGTTGGGAGTGCCCGTAAAGGTTTGATTAAATAGAAAATGTCAAAATGCAATGAAAACTATGATAAGTCATCATTATGACAAATACTCTCTCCCCAGGCCTGTGAGTGTCTGTCTAATGCATGCTTCCTGGCACTCCTATATATTTTATATAGGGAAAATTGTAGTGGATGTCCCCACCCTACCACCTCTACAGCAAGTTGTTTGCTACCTTCCATTTGGAACATTTGTAAATCCCCATCCCTTCCCATTTCTTTTGCACTTTTAGTCTTAGTTTCGATCCAATATACCGTTAAAATAGCACGTGGGGCACTCTTGTAAGGGTATAATGGGTAAATCTCAAATAAATTTTAATATAAGAAACAATAAAAGAATAAATGTAGGAAAAATAATAAAAATCTGTCACCCCCTTCAAATAACCCAGCCCACCCACTCCTCTCTTATACAAATCTGCAAATGATTGTCTCTGCTTTTCTCGCGATGCAGGCTTAGAAAGAGTATGGGAAATGAAACCATTGGTGAATGGAAAGGATATCATGAATGTCTTGCAGATCAAATCAGGAGGACCCGTGGTTAAGGAATGGGTACTTCTTATCTGCTTTTCGACTTTAAAATTTATATTAAAAATATATAGAAATTAGAACGCTAACTGATGATAGTATATTTTCCTTTCTTTCAGCAGCAAAAACTGCTCGAGTGGCAGCTTGCACACCCCTCTGGGTCTGCAGACGAATGCATTGATTGGATGAGGCAAACTCATTCGAAACGTGCGAGGACAGAGTGATTCTTTGCTGAAGTTCAACCTACAAACTTACTCTGTCTTGAGAAATTGTTTATTTAATTTCTCAAACAATATTCGAGAGCCACAGAGATCACTCCTGTTCTGGAAGGCTTAAAATTAAAAACGAACATGTAAAATATCCCGTTCCTCGGGAAAAAAAAAATGAAAAAGGATAGGAACTGTTGTGTAATTATCTAGGATAAATTATGGCATAGTTTTCTTATGTCATAGTACTCAATTTTTGAACCGCAGATGTTCTTGTTCATTTTTGACGTGTAAAGATTCTTTTCAATGCCATATATTGTTTAGCTGGAGGGATGAAATGGAATTACAGCTTGAGTAGCTAAATGTATGAAACTTTATCTCCCATTGAATTGCTACAGGTTCTTGACGTAAATTTCTGCGACAGAAATTTGTCCAAGAGAAAAGTGTTGAAAGTTTCGATACAGTTCTACAGAAAAAGCTAATTTTTTGTATGTTCTATAATTCTATTGGTGTCGCATTGTTCTCCTCTTGGACGAGGAAGAAGATGAAGATGGGAATGAAACAAACTAACATATTTATACGATTCTGAAGATTTGTTTATTATGCAGAATTAAGCATGACGGGATAGGATAACATATTCAAACGCTCAAGTATAATGTTTAACATGTCCAAGCGTTGTAGAAAGTGAATTAAGCATTGCTTATTTTATATCTTCTAATAAATCCAACACTCAAGTGAATGGAATTACGAAAAGGGATTTATGTAGCTTATTCAAATTTATTAACAGAGATTAACTTATTTTTGTTCGAATAGCTGACACAAGCTTGAATAATTTAAATCTGTAGTGGGTAATATTCATAATGCAACTAAAACAATTGGACCGAGCTACAGTGCTGCAGGGATGACCGATCGTGCACACACGACACAGGTGGGTCGGATTTTAAATTCAGGTGGAACCTACCTCGGCATGTGAGGGTGCAGTCACCCATTGTGTCAAACATGCCGGTCGTTTGGCAAAATTCAATACAATTTGAAAAAAGGATCCACTTACTTTAGGATCATCCAAGTGGATCTAATATTGTGAAAATAGATTCGTGTAGAGAGCCTCAAATTTATTGAAATAAAACTTAATTTGTAGCTGCCCGAATATGTGCATCGAGCCTCGAAACAGAAGTAATTAATCTAAAATCCAAATAATCGCCTACAAGCTTGAAGAATCTTGCCTTTCTTTCTCATGGGGTTTGCCTGTGAATTTGAGTTCTTCATGTGTTCTTCATCATCATGTTCATCGGCAGCAGTTAAATCACACTGGTGATGGATTCTACTATACCCTTCAGACACTGAAGAAGATCTCTTTAAGGAAAACGACCTCTTCACCACTGTCTGAATATATGATTTCTCAGCCCCGTCCTCATGGGAAGGGACAAAACAGTTTCTATTCAAGACATCTCCAGAGATCTCTCCTATGCCATCCTCATTTTCATCTTCTGGTATCGAATCCGGCATTCTGGGATTGTTTTTGAGGTTGTTTTGTTTGATTTCCAGGGATTTGGGGATGTTTTCTGCAATGGATCTTGGTGTATGATATGGGAAAGAAAGATCAGAAAGATCTATAGATTTCGATCTTGTTTTATTAACTTTTCTGATTCTTGAGTAAGATCCACTCATTTTTTTCTTCTAGAAATTATGGATTTAGGATCACTTTCAATGGAAATGAGAAAGAAAGAAGCCTAGAGAGAAAATGAAATAAGATGTCGATCGATTATACATGAAGAATAACATGCAAAATTATTTGAGAACATAAAAAGTGATGTCATGTACTGAAGGAGAAAGCTTGGCTTCTTGCTCGGAAATGTGAGATATTAGTTTAATATTAGATAGATTTTTGCATCGTGTTTGGTGCATGTTTTGTCATCTGATTAAAAATGAATCTTAGAATAGTCATAACAGCGTCATTATTACTTTTTCATGACGACTATCTGTTGTGGTATCATCAAAAAATGTAAATTCTAGTAGTGATTACTTAGCAAGTATCGAAAGATTATCATGAAAATTTGAGAGGGTTAAGAAAGTAGAATTAAAGTGAGAATGGTTGTTGAAGTTATAAAATTATGCATGTATTAAACGGTTGATAATATTAAGAGAGACGTTAAATCGAGCATATTAGGAATAGTCTACATTCGTTGTCCTGAACTTAATGTATTCACAGTACCATCTTGATACTTGGACATATCATCTCTAATTAGCAAATGAGAAGATGTTATGGATTCTGTCAGCACTTTTAAGTGCTTGTAAATAATATGCGCCACCATATTAGCCATGTGGGGCGTGCTGCGTCTGGTTGTAGACAACGTGGGATGTTGAAAATTTTGTCTTGTTTTATCANNNATGATTAAGTATAGGCTCATTAGATTTCTATAATGGAAGAAACTTTTCTTTTCTTGAATCAGACACCTTTAGCTTGCCCATCAATGGCCGTCATTATATAGTTCGAAGAGCATAGGGCAAGATCTGGACTAGATGTGATAGATCAGGCCAGATTTAATTTTGCAGTTTGATGTAAACTTAAATATAAAATTAACAGTTAAGCTACTCAGACAGGGACAGTTGACAGGATTTAAAAACAGGTGTCAAGTGTTTGGCTCTTTTTTTTAACTTCCTAATGAATAGTTGACGCGCGTCTCCTGTTTTCAAATCCTGTCACATGCCCTATTTGTGTAGCAGAGTCCATTAAGAGAGACAATTTCTTCCACTGGGACATGAATCTTCTTAAACGTCCGACCCGTTTTCTTCTTCCCCAAAGAGATCAACTCCAGCTATGATATAATGTTGGTTGATGGCCGATATAAAACGACACGATTGCATGCTCTTGGATCAGTCGCCACTTTTATAGTATAAATTCCAATATCTTCTTCGAAATTCAGCACAGCTGAACAAATATAACATGTACACAAAAAGGGAAATTTTTTCTTTTTGTTTAAATTTAGCAATAGATGTAACGGCGCGAAAACTGAACAAATAACGAAGTCTTATTAGCAATCCATTTCAAGTTGCAACACCTCGATAATGGTTTTGAGAGTGATGGATTGTGAATCGAACAGAATAATGAAAACGATAAACAAAGCTAGTTCTATACAAAGAAAAATAGTTTGAGAGAATTGCAGTAATGTTGGATTTACCTTTATGCCTGACCACTGCCATATACTGCTATCTCCTCCTTTTGATCATGTGGTCGGAGCAAATAATTTATGAAGTATGCACCAAAGCAATTTGCAGACACAAAAGTGTGTGGGATTTTTGCTTCTTCTCCGGCCCTTCTGATTTTCTTCTTTTTGTCAAGGACTTCTTGGAATGGGGGCAGTACACCGATTCTATCCTCTTGGCAGCCAAAATCAGATGGAAGGAACTTCTGCAACGATAAACTCATTATGAATTAAGCCTTAATCTCGTATTCCTGAGAGCAACCAAAATCAAGTTTATGCCACCAGCAACCTTGATGGCCTCTATGATTTTGAGTTGATCAAGAACTTGAGGAAAAGCCACTGCAAAGATCACCATATCAACTTCTTTAAGCACTGAAACTAACTTGTCATGATCCTCTAACTCTCCCTGCAAGCACATTGCAACTTAGAATTAAATATTAAGAACCGCACGTGTATAAAATTCGTGACATGAAGTTCACAAGTTACTTAATTTGACAATAACGGCACCCATCGACTCAAACTCATTCAGCAATTCTGTCTTGGAAGAGTTTGGCCTTGAATAAACATGTGGGATGGACTAATTTGATGCTGACCTTCACCATATAGCTGCCAATGTAGCCTGTTCCTCCCATTATGAGGATTCTATTCTCATTTCTAGCCATTTTGCTTATTTTCTCTTAGTTTTCTACATGAATGTATCTTAAAGTGGAATAAGATGAAGGCATAGAAAAGGAAAGAAAACATAGAAACCTACCAAAATTGAATGTTGGCAGGATACTAATGCAGTTATACAGCCAGCACAAAGAGTCGAAAGGAGAGTAGGAGAGATGAAAAACCCTCTTGAAATTTTGGTATATGTGTCATTCATTATCGAAAAGTAAAAACATTTCATTGCCAGAAGAGGAAGAACATCTTTTTTCACTAGTTGGTAAAGGCCACAACGCCCAACACAGTTGTTTATCTTATGTGGATGTTGAAAAGCTCGCTTACTGATAGATAAATTTTGAAATTCACTATCAACTCATTCAACAATTAATTATTCTATCATTTCACTGTTACGCTAAGCAAGGATTCAAATTCAATCTTAACTCATTTAATTTTGTATGAATTTTCCAAGGTCATTTTTTCGAGTTTGTTCTTTTGATTGTATAAGTCGACTTTTTCAAAAACCATAAATGGAAATGGGAGTCATTTTTCTACACACGAGGAAAATGTGAGACTTTTCATTGTAAAATTTCTTTCTTCTCAATACAACATAAAATCTATAATGGTGAGTGAACATTGCTCTTGAAAGATTTTTGAACAAAGAGGATGGAAGTTGATATATTGTTCAGTAAGTTCACTCCCAAAAACGAGCTGATCTATTACATCTCAAATATATAGAGATTACAAGAAGTTTCTAGCAAAAATAGTCAACAGCACTTTACCTAATACATACTAACTTTTTTTGACAGCTTTCCTTACAACATGCAGGACCATATTTTGGTAAAAACTACCAGCTTTTATCATTAAATTCAGCTAATTTCAAGCTGATAAAAAGTACAAAATAATAATAATAATAATATTTACAGCAAAAGTGTCAATTTGACTTCATCACTCCTCCTTGGCACTTTTGCTGGAAACCCCAAGACTGTTTCTAAGTGTTTCAAATCTTGCTTTAGGTAAGGATTTGGTTAGAATATCTGCATTTTGATCCTTTGATTTGCAGCTTACAAGTTCCACTTCCTTTTCTTCTTGTGCTTCTCTAATCGAGTGATACTTGATCTTAATATGCTTGGTTCTTCCGTGAAACACAGGATTCTTCACCATAGCTAATGCAGATTGGTTGTCACAATAGATGATTGTTGCTTCTTCTTGCTTGCGTTTGAGATCCTCTAACACTCTCCTCAACCGAAGTGCTTGATTTGTAGCTTCTGAGGCTACAATGTATTCAACTTCTGCTGTGGACTGTGCTACTGTTTTCTGCTTCATTGAATTCCAACAAATAACACTTGAGCCAACATAAAATACATAACCAGAGGTGCTTTTCATGTCTTCAAAAGATCCAGCCCAATCACTATCTATAAAATCAATCAACTTCAGAATTTCAAACTTTCTAAACCAAATTCCCAGCTCTTCAGTCCATTTAATGTATCTCAAAACCATTTTTGCTGCTTGAAAGTGTATTTCACTTGGCTCTTGTCTGAATCTTC